CATCCAGTTTTGACCATATATGAGGTCCTTGATATCTAAGAGAATGTTTTCCATAGTTAATAGTATTAATTAAAAGTAGGAATTTCAAAATTACTGTTTCTTAGTGAATAACTATAATGCTTTTCTGCTTAAATAGTTCGTCAACAATACTCGGCGTTATGCCATATTTTACTCTGTGCATTAATATGGCGATATCTTGAAGTCTTCGATTTAATAGTGAGGGTAGCTCTGCGTGAGCCAAAAGGTTTTCGTGTAATTCTGAATGGGAATTAAATACTGCTCTAAGTGCACGTTCTTGAATCCGTTCTATTTTTCTGCTGTAAGAGGATCTGCAGTTATGCCATTCCAGATAGAAATGTGATAAGTAAGTTAAGTTGGGATCAATCAATCAATCGCTGTCCCTTCAAGCAGTTTAGTAAAAACACGATTTAGGTTGTGGCAACGCAGAAAATAGAATTGAAAAACAATCAAACTATTTTGAAACATGTTTCTTAAACCCTTCTCTCGAAAAAAGGAAACTTTTTGGGTTGCGGAGTCGAGAAAAACTCTCAGCAGGAAGGCCACTCGAAGTTGAATATACAAAACAAAACAACCCGTTGTACATCAAAGCTGAATTTAAACTCTGCTCTATAAAAAAGTTTCGGTCTCTGAAAGCTTAAGAGTTTAGACCTTATTTTGGCCCCAGCCAACAATACAAAAACTGTAACAATCGGACAATTGTGCCCTGAGGTTCAGCGAATGCAATAAAACTATCTAATACATACGTTAAAAACCAGAAGAAGGGAACTGTCAGAATATATATAGCTCAAGAAACATTGTGTGGTGTCATTCACCTTATAGCCAAAATATCAAAACACCTGAACTGAATTGCATTGTTTCGCCACCTAATGGTGTTTATGCCTTCATCCATGGAACCTTGAAGTTGGTTGCCACTCTGTAAGAAGTGAGTCAGTACTAGCTGGCTTACCGTTCCTTAACTCGTAATGGGTGAGAAATAGGCCATACTTTGAGCTAAGGTCAACAGACCACCAGGAATCTATTCTCCTCCCTCGCTGTTCTTTTGTTCAGAAGATCGCTTAACAGTAAGTTTCCCCAAAGGCTTCGAGGCGCATAGAACGCTGCAACACTTTTTCTGAAAGGGTCGCTCGTTCAGCTTTGGAGAGTACACACTTCAAAAATTGACAATTAAAAGTAAACCCCTGATTTACAGAAAGTTTTGGAATTATCCAGTGGTGACTTAATGACAGAATCTTTACTTAGCCTTGCTCATTGTCTGTAAAGATGATTGTCGATTTTAAAAGATTTCTACAAAGATTCTCCAATTGCCTCATTGATTTGCCAATTGGTATCGTCAAAGGTAATTGGAGCATTTCAATGTTAAAGCTCAGAATTTTTGGTGCCATGAAAATGGCTATTAGATGATTGGTACAAAGCTCAAGTGAAAGTATTTTTAGACCATATTTACCTCGTATGTACATAGTTTGATTAAAAACCAACAATGAAAAAATAACTGGCAAACCGGGATCAATATCATTATCTGGGCAACTGCCCACCTACCCCTCCCCTAACCCAACATTTACCCCCAACTTGTTATCAATAGACTGTTTTTGGGTTAGGGGAGGGGTAGGTGGGCAGTTGTTCAGATACTGATATTGATCCGTAAACCGGTTAGAGAACACGGAAAGGTCACCAAGCTGAGGAACTTGAGCTGTCTCGATATCTAAGAATGTCTCGAGGTGCAGTTGGTAATGGATTAGTTAAGGACAGAGGATGAGGAGCACCATGTCAAGTTAGCAATAGAAACGAATATATTTTCCAACTGTGCAAAGGAATTTTTTTTGGTCTTCGTATTAATAATTCTGATTTTAAACACTACAGTCTATGATATCTCAACGAACAACTGACTTTGCCATAGTTGATACTTACTTCTTTCCAACAGTTGTTTAAGTTATCAAGTTGACTGGTGGTCTCTATATTTGAATAAATACGTAGGGAATTTGGTTAGTAACAGCTTTTTAATAAATTCAAAGCTCTTTTTCCCGACGTATCCCATATTTTGAAAACACGTTCAGGCTTCATTCACCATCTTCATTTACTTCATCATTGCGCAAAAGCATCATATTAAGCATTCGTATCCTAGCATTATGCAGGAAGTTCGTCAGGATGCACCAAGTTAAACATCTAAGCCTGCCACATGTCGCCTGTAGCTCAATGGTAGAACACCCGAAGTACTAATCGGAAGGTCGTAGGTTCGACTCCTAATGAGCCGGGAGCACTTGGTGTTCTTTTCCTCTCCGAGTATACCTGTGTCGTTCACTGTAATCATCATCTTTCATTAAAATCACCAGGCTTAACATCTACCATTATCATTTATATCATCACCTTCAAGAAAGTTCTTTTGAAGTGTTCATGTAAAACTGATCGGAAGCTTAACCTGTCATCATCATACTCCTGAAAGCATCGTTTTGGTGAGTTCGTATGAGGACGTTTGGGTTGGTTCAAATATGTTTTAATCCTTTTAACTCCCATTAGTGATATATATGTAATTTCTCCCTGTAATATTCATACTTTACCCAGCAAAAATATAGTGAGAATACTCAAGCTAATCAGGTAGAGGTTATTATCTTAAACTAACACCAAATTCTTGTATGCAATTTACTAGGAAATGTATATCAGCCAGAGGAGAGAATTAACATTAGATATTGGGAGTTAAAGGGTTAATTTACTTACTTAAATGAGGTTCATTTACATTTCTTTAGAAGGCAAACTGTTTCATTTCTTGTGATCTATGAATATTTAATGTAAGATGACGGCAAACAGGCAGACAGATCAGTTACCTTGAACTGTCACTCCATTGCTGGTATTTGCTTGTCTGGGATCGATATAGGATACTGCATACATCGATCTTTGATGTTACTAGCTTGCTAAAGCATTGTATGAACTCTTGGAAGTTTCTGATGGATATTCTCACGAGATGTGATTCTTCATCAGATAAAATTTCCTCTTCGTCTATTTCAATGGAAAGAAATAATGAAGGCGATTATTTTTTTCACTGCAAATTATACTTTTAGAGGAACTGAATTTCATTCTATTATCGTAGGCTAAATACCTTTGTCGCGGGAAAAACCTCAGTGTTTTGCCGGTCTTTTTTTTTATCATTATTTCTAAATATACCATACATCGTTCTCTCGGGTGATGAGGAGAACATTGGGTCAGAGTCCCGTTCGTTTGTTTGCACCATGTTGTAACGCCAAAAATTTTTCTTTGAATAACGCGAGTCATCGATTTCGAAAACCTGGCGCCAGTTAAGAACGAGTCCCATAGGAATTATTTTTCACAATTTTACCCTCGAAATGGTAAACCACTACCAGCTGGAAAAACATCTCAATCGCTCGCAGAGACTACTAAATAAAAGCCCCAATTTTCCAGAGAGGGCATGCAATATACGCAATTCTGTGAACCATTCATATATCGCGTGACAAAGCCAGAAGATATTCTGTTTCAGGGTTATTTTGATCTATTGAAAGCAGCCACAACTGACAAAGAAGAGATTCTTTTTGTCGAGACTAGACTAGACAAGGTCGACTAGGAACATGCCAGATGAAGACTATTCGCAGTGTTAACTAGAACCGTTTTGAAATTCTGACTTCCAGACCGTTTTCCTTCGAGTGCCTTTAGATCAAGCCTGTCTTCAGGTTTGATTCTTCAAAGGAGCTAATGACTTTACAATCGTTCAATCTTAAATTTAGGGGAGTTTCTGAATATGAAACTTATAAATAACATTTGAACGCGGATAATGATGGAAACAAATTTGCAGAAAAGAGGGTTAGTGTGATGATTGCGTTCTGTGTGCTAAATCTCGAGGGAAACTGCAAGAATTCTTTCAGAGTGTATGCGTGTTGTTTTGTAAATAACACTGTAACGCATTTAACTTGTTTGTGTGTCCTTTTCAGCAACGCGATATGTCTGTATTGACCAGAGTGCAAAATTTTATTCTTTAATTTTGGTCTTCTCCACTCTGTGCATAGTTCATGACCTGATAATTCAACGAAAATTATCGAGAGGCGCCTTGACACGAGCGCAATTGAGCAAATACATGGATTTTCATTGTTTTTAGCATGTCGGTGGATGAAAGTCAGAGATATACCCGCTGGTTTGAGGCAATCGCCGACCTCATTGGTGTATAAACTATGCATAATACTGATAGGCTTTTTTAGCCCGATTAAAGCCTGCGTTTTGAGAATTCTTTCGTACAAATAAGTAAATTTTTGATATGCAAGTTAAGGTCTAAGAGAAGGGTCTCCCCTGATCACTTTGGTATGGAAAATATTTCAGGTGAAGTTTCCATATTTAGCCTGTGAACTAACTGACTACATCATGTAACTCCGTGAGCTATATTATTGCAGTCGCCACGCGCTGGACAAAATCTTTGAAATTTACACTTTCGATCGCTGTCTACTCAGGTGGTCTAGCCAAAAATCATTTTTGGCTTGTGGCGACGCAAATAAAGAGAATTGGAGAACAACTAAACTATTTTTGAAACGTGTCCTAACTCCTTTTCGTAGGCAAAAAATAAAAGAAAACTTTTTTCGACGGGAAGTCGAGAGGACCACTCTCAGCGAAAGCGGTGATTAAAAAAGTCACGTTTTCTGTCCCGGAGAGGCAAATGCATAGTGGCCGGCACGTACGCTTGACCTTCAAAATAAGTTCACGCGTAATATTTACGCATCCACAATTAAGGATGTTTTAAGAAATAAAATTTAAAAATGAACTACAGTTCGACTCAATACTTGCTCTAACCCTGTTCAGAATGTCTAACGACAGACAAAACGTTGCAACATTATAAAGGAGTAGAGGGGACGAGGATAAGAGTATTCTGTTTCAGAATAATGTGATCTCGGTCGTGATGAGTGACCAGTTCTGCCGCTAATTGTACTCTTGACAAGGTTCGATTATAACTACGAAGGGTTAACGTTGAGAATAACCATAAATTCCTAACAGGGTAACGTACTTAATTTTGGATTATTTATTAAGCACGTAACAAAGCCAGAATATTTCATTCATTATCACTTAATGGTCTGTGATTTTAGACTGTTCAAGTAAACCGCAACTAAAAAAGATTATAGTCACATCTTAGTTGTGGTCTTAACATTACGCGTCACGTCTAAGCTCTTTGTCACCCTCCTTTTATTGCTGACAATTTCTTAGTTTTGAATACTCAATGATTGAATGATCTTTGAATACATGGTGGTTCGTTTTCCGTCTTTCGATTGTTTAAAACATAACCATGTAATCATGTCAATATAACGACGGAAGAGCTTACTATATATTTTATAGTAATTAGAAATTGCATTGTTCGTATGAGCGATACAGAAAAGGGGAAGCAGATATACAGGAACAATTGGAAGTGATTAAAAAAGTCAAATAAGCGCGACGTCTTACAAATAGGCATTAATAATGTTGTGCTTGTTAGACGGGGACTCGCCAGCAGCCGGGCTGGGTTGCTCTATGTAATGCAGTCAGCAGTCAACATCTACTCGTTACCCACTGGCCGTCCAGTATTGGCGGGCACAGAGGATAGTTGAGTCATCAAAAGCTGAAAACACATTTTGGAAAGACAATTGTTCGTAAGTAAGTGCATCATAATTTAATCGTCCACCGAATAACTTCAGAAATACTTGTTTATATCATAGAGGTTTTAAAGTAACCTCTGGCATTACTCGTCGAGACACGTACCTGTTGTTAGAAGACAGTCGACACAATTTAAATGAAAGATTCTTAATGCTTTCTCTTAACTTAGCATAACCATGTAATATTGTCAATGTAACGATCGAGGAGGTTGCTTCAAATTTTTATAGTATTTAGAAATTGCATCTCTGACATCATTTGTCTGGAGTCTTTAAATTTGCTACTTATTAAAGGAATTCAGTCTTCATCTGAAAAAAAATTTCGCTGTGACCAGATACCCGGGAACCAGGCATGGTCTCAAATTGACTATATGCCCGGCAGTCAGAAAAGTTCTCAGATTTTCCACTGACAGGTTCTTTCAAACTTCTTAGGATTAACATGATGTTTGTTTAGAAATGTCAAGCGATTCAAAAAGTTTATTTGTTTCCTCAGTGGACGAACTCTCCGAGATTGAGCGTACTATAACATCACTCGGTTGTCGACACTTAGAAATAGCACGGCTTTTATAAGACTGCAGGGCACGGTCTCGAACGGACTAAGATGAAGACTATTCGCAGTTTTCCTTAGAACCGTTCTAAAATTCTGACTTCTAGACCGTTTTCGTTCGAGTGCCTCTAGGTCTAGCCTGCCTTGAGGTTGAATTCTTCAAAAAAGTTAATGACTTTACAATCGTAAAATCTTCAATTTAGGGCAGTTTTCTGGATAAGAAACTTATAAAAAATATTTGAACGCGGAAGAGAAAGCAGTTAAAAGTTATGTTTTTCTGTCCCTGAGATGCAAGAATACGTGCGTACTATGCTTGACCTTCAAAATAAGTTCACACGTAATATTTAGGCATCCAGGGGAAGCTTGGATTCTTTCAAGCAGATATATAGGAACATTACCTGAGGTTGGACGTGATCAGGAAGTAAAATAAAATCTTACAAAAAGGCAATAGACACGCTGTACTTGTTAGACTGGAACTCATACATGCATAGCGCACAGCTAAATCAAGTTCCAAGCCATTTGGTTCCGCAGCCTTTTGACAGTCAAGAAAGCTAACTGCAAGTATGTCAGACGTCAATCATAAGCACATTATGAGGAAATTCTACGATCAGCTCTTAGAAGAGGTTGATCCAGACAGGGTTGGTACCCATCTTGCACAAAGTAAAACGATCACTGAAGCAGAACTACGAGCATTGAGTATTCAGAAAGGAAGAACGCAGACGTTGTTGAGGATGATAGCCGATAAAGGACCAGAGGCGTATGAAGAGTTTGTTAAAGCCTTGGAGAAATGTAAATGCTTTGTCGTTTATTATCTTCTAAAAGAAGGTAAGTCGGTATTTGACCGAAACACTTTTCAAAATCAGACCACCGTACTTAGCAAAGTCAGACGTTTCCCTTGCAGACAAACATAACGTAACGTGTGGTAAAGTTCAAATTCTTAAGAGAGAGATCGCCTAATATGAAAGACAATATACTGATAGATTTAGACAAGCCTAAAAGCGGAGCTCTTGTTAGTTTATTTTCCATCCCTACAGTAGACTGAAAAAAAACTGTTTCACTCCAGATTAATTAATTACGCGTGAAAGCGCAACAATCGTCAAGAAGCTATAATTGAACAATCACAAAACGAAACTATCACTGATTGATCGTGCATGAGAGGCAACGAACGTTGAGGACAACCATCGGGTAAATATTTCCTTTCTATGGAATTGTAATTTAGTAGAATCCTTACTCATCATAATCGCTGTGTATTTTTGCCATAGATTTCGAACGCACATGTGTATTAACAGATATTAAACATGTTAAAGAACACAGTTTGAAACCGTTGGTTACAGCAATACATTTGTTGTTTACAACAATACAAAAACTGTAATAAAACTTTTCAGTACTTGCTGTAGAAGAGTTTCCTCAAGGGGATTTAGGAACCAGTCCGGAGGGTGGGAAGAATTGACGAGGTCTGGAACCTGGGGACGATTTTCTCATAACTTACAAAGCGATCAACACGAGTGCTAGGCAGCGGTATCTTCAAAAAGGTTAGGACCTTCTTTGTTGTTCCTGATGTTTTGAGCAAATTTTCGAAGATAGGGAATGTTTTCTTCTTCAGATAAAGAGTATCATGTCAGCATAAGTTGAAAGTGTATTCTATTGAGCGTGACTGTTAATTTCAGTTTGGGAAGCTGGGGACGATTTTCTCACAACTTGCAAGGCGATCAACCAAAATTGAAATAAACGACGGTAGACTACTTCGCGTGAAGACATCACTGGTCGATTAAAGAGTAAACAGAGAGAACAATGAGCCAGTAAAACAATACGCCAGAATCTTATGGGCTTCTCTTATATCTTCTCTTGAAGTTGCCAGGTATGACTGCTTGCCCC